CCCCATTTCCCTGCTCCTGGCAGTTAGAGCAATGCTTCTTAGTTTAGAGGGCTTTAAGGCAGCTTCTAAACTTCCACTTTTATCATTTCTAAAAGAAAATGTTTTGTATTCATTCAAATATAGAAATTAGTCCAAAAGGAATCATAACAGGATCAATAGGCTCTGGGACGTCTGCATTTTTCATCCCTGACGGGCAAGGCACTAACCTTGTCCACATTGGTTCAGCATCAGTGTATTATAAATAAAAGGCGCTTCGCAATTATTCCCAGCTACACTCATTAATTGATTCCAGTTACATGTCTGCTAGATCCTTTTGTTTTTCAGACAGGGTCTTACTCTGTTCCTGGTCTAAAGAGCAGTGGCATTAATTGTAACTCATTGCAACTTTCAAACTCCTGGGCTCGAAGCGGATCCTCCTGTCTCTGCCTCCCAGAGTGCTAGGGTTACAGGCGTGGAGCCACTGGATGCCCGGCCTGCTGGCATCTTTTGACTGTCTCACACGCAATTCTTCAGGTTGGGATCATTTCCATTGATCAGAGTTACTGGTCTATCTGGCATCTCTGTTCTGTTAAGCCCATCCAGTGTTTTTTAATTTTCAGATATTGTAATTTCAGTTTAAATTCCATTTCGTTCTCTTGTTTTTTTTTTTGAGACAGATCTCCTTCTTGTTTGCCCAGGCTAGAGTGAGTGCCGTGGCGTCAGCCTAGCTCACCAGCAACGCTTCCAAGTTTCTCCTGGCGTCAAGCATGGATCCTCCTGCCTCAGCCTCCCAAGTAGCTGGGATAGCAGGCATCGGCGCCCATGCGCCGCTAGATTTTTTTATATATATTAGTTGGCAAGTTTAATTTTTCTATTTATAGTAGGAGACGGGTCTCGCTCTTGCTCACGGCTGGTTTCGAACTCCTGACCTCGGACAATCCCCCGACCTTGGCCTTCCCAGAGTGCTAGGATTACAGGCGTGAGACCATCTGCGGCCCGGCCTTCTTTTTTTTTTGGAGACAGAGTCTCACTCTGCCTGGGTAGAGTGCTGTGGCATCAGCCTAGCTCACAGCAACCTCAAACTCCTGGCTCGAGCCATCATCCCTGCCTCAGCCTCACTCGAGTAGCTGGGACTACAGGCATGGGCCACCAATGCCCAGCTAATTTTTTCTATATATTTTTAGTTGGCCATATTATTTCTATGTTTAGTATAGACTGGGTCTTGCTCTTGCTCAGGCTGGTCTTGAACTCCTGGACCTGAGCAATCCGCCTACCTTAGCCTCCCAGAATGTAAGATTACAGGCGTGAGCCCCTGCACTGGCCTGGTTCTCTTTTTATATTTTTATATCTTCTCTGCTGAAGTTTTATTCTTTTTATATGTCACAAGCATTTTTTTCTTTATGCCATTGAGCATTAGTATAATGGCTGCTTTAAAAATCCCTTGGTCTCCTAATTTCAACATTTGTGTCATCCTGGAGGTGAGTCTCTGTTTATTATCTTTTCTCTTGAAAGTGGCACTCATTTTCCTGTTTCTGTGTATTCTGGAATGGACCGTTGTGGATTGTATCCTGGATATTGGGATATAGGAATATAAGATTACTATGGAAACCCTAGATTCTATTATGTAACTCCAAAGTGCTGGATTTCCTGTTTTAGCAGCTTGGTTGGAATTAGTTTTGGAGTCTTGTACTGGGGCAGAGTTTAAGCAGAGGCTGGGGCTCCCCTCTTCGGCTCACCTCTTTCTGGAATTTCTCCCCACACTGTCCAGCGGATACAGTCACCCTGGACTCAGTCCTTGGTTCTTCAAGCACAACTTGAGCCTACCCTCAGCCTGGCAGCTTTAAAAACCAGTAGCTTGCTGGCGGTCGCAGTGGCTCTGCTTGTATCCTAGCACTTTGGTGGGAGGCCGAGGCATGTGCGTGATTGCTAATGTCTAGTGTAGGTTCGGAAAGCCAGCGCTGAGGCAGAGCGCGCCCGTCTCAAAAAATAGGGGGGTAAAGAAATTAATTTGCCAACTAAAAATATATATACAAAAAAAAATTAGCTGGGCATGGTTGGCGCGATTGCCTGTGCTCCCCAGGTTGACTTGGGAGGCTGAGGCAGGGAAGGATTGCTGAGCCCCAGGAGTTTGAGGCAACAAAGTGAGACTCTGTCTAAAAAAAAAAAAAAAAAAAACCAGTAGCTCACTTTGTCCCAGTCTCTTCTGCCCGCTAGCATCTGCCCAGTGCCGTCAGGTAGTTGTTGTGTCTTGTCCAGCCAGAGTATGTGATTGTCATTTGCAGGAGGGTCAGCCCCTTAGGACCACATGAGAAGCTAAATGTCACATACCCGGATTTCTCCCATCCAAGTACTAGCTGGGCCCGACCCTGCTTAGCGCGTCCGAGATCAGACGAGATGAGGTGCGTTAAGGGTGGTGTGGCCGTAGACCGCAGACGCTGATTCTGCACGGGCCCCAGCACAGGGCTAGGGACCCAGTGGTGACTGAGACAACCCAAGGCCCTGCCCTCATGGAGCTCCCAACACAGTGGAGAAGATAGACAGTCAACAATCTATTTTTTTTTTTTTTGAGACAGAGTCTCACTTTGTTGCCCAGGCTAGAGTGAGTGCCGTGGCATCAGCCTAGCTCACAGCAGCCTCAATCTTCTGGGATCAAGGGATCCTCCTGCCTCAGCCTCCCGAGTAGCTGGGACTATAGGCATGTGCCACCATGCCTGGCTAATTTTTTGTATGTATGTTTTTAGTTGGCCAATTAATTTCTTTCTATTTTTAGTACAGACGGGGTCTTGCTCAGGCAGGTTTCAAACTCCTGACCTCGAGCAATCTGCCCGCCTCGGCCTCCCAGAGGGCTAGGATTACAGGCGTGAGCCACTGCACCCCGCCAACAATCTATTTCTTTTTGTTTGTTTGTTTGACCATTAGGCTAAGTCTTTTATACGTAAGCCTTATATGTAAATATATACATATATATTTTTTCATATATATACTTTTCTTTTAAATATTAAGTGGTTATAAATGTTTTAGGTTACATGAATCATTTTTGTAATGCTGGAGTCTTGGCTATAGGTGTGCCTGTCACCCAGATAGTGTTCATAGTGCCCATTAGGTTGGTTTATTCCCCTCCCGTCCTGCCCCGCCCCCTGTGCTTTACACTGAGTCTCACTTCTCTAACAATCTCTCACATTCACTGCCATGTGAGTTGTATTTAACTCACGATACTTTTTTTTTGAGACAGAGTCTTGCTTTGTTGCCCAGGCTAGAGTGAGTGTCGTGGCATCAGCCTAGCTCACAGCAACCTCAAACTCCTGGGCTCAAGCGATCCTTCTGCCTCAGCCTCCGAGTAGCTGGGACTACAGGCATGCGCCACCATGCCCGGCTAATTTTTTCTATATATATTAGTTGGCCAATTAATTTCTTTCTATTTTTAGTAGAGACAGGGTCTCGCTCTTGCTCAGATTGGTTTCGAACTCCTGACCTCGAGCAATCTACCTGCCTCGGCTTCCCAGAGAGCTAGGATTACAGGCGTGAGCCACCGCGCCCGGCCCAGTCCCAAGTCTCTTTATTGCTGAAGTACATTCTCTGTGCCAGTCGCTCTGCTAAGGGACACCAGGGGCTTAGGGGTGACCAAGACAGCCCGCTTGGGAGACAGCCCGGTCACCAGACAGTGATGGCTGCGAGTGGTCAGGATGGGGGGGCACATGTAGAGAGGTCAGGCGGGATGCGGCAGACACAGGACATTTGGGGACGTCTAAAGAAAGGGCTCGACCCAGTCGTGCGGTCAGGGACAGCTTCCTGGAGGAGAACTCGCTGTGTAAACTGAGTCAGGAAGTGAAGACAAGGAGGAGTAAAGCATACGTGAACATGGAACAAATGCCTGAGACATAGCTTAACATCGCTAGTCGCCCAGGAAGGTCAAGTTCAAGCTCCAATGAGCGCCCAGCAGCGAGCCGCACGAGACAGGTACACGCCACCAGTCAGTCGCTGGTGAGCACATGGATCGCGCCACCCTCCCGCACGCGGCTTTTGGAAATTGGTACAGTCCCCTTGGAAAGTGGCTGCTGAGCAAGCCATGAGCTCAGTGGCCTGAAAACTCCACTCCCAGGTACACCCTGGAGAAACGGCCACCCACACCCCCCCACCGGGATGTGGCACTAGGTATAAAAGCCCCAAACAAACTCCAGAGCACCAACGTACGTGCTGTTCAACAGGACAGGGAGTAAATACACGCGTTCCTCACCCAGCGGTGAGAAGGGACAATTTACAGTGACACACGACCACCCGGCCGGGTCTCAGAATCAAACATGGAGTGGAAAAAGCAAGTTTGCAGCCATAAAAGAAGAAAAAGCACAATCCCAACCCCTTCCATTCCCCCAGCGAGGACGGGAACGCACTCTGCTCTTATTATCATCTGACCCATTTCACAGATTGGAGAACTGAGGCATAGAGAGAGCTTAAGTAACTTGCCCAAGCTCACGGAGCTGGTGGGCAGGTGGGAATTCATTTCCTGCCGTGCTCGATCGATACAGTTGAGAAAGGAAACCAACAATAAAGCTATTTTTAAAGGGCCTGCAGGATCGCTGGCTGAAAACAGAAGTCAAGGCAGAAGGGAATTCATTAGAAAGAGGAGCAAACGCAGAGGGAGTAAAAGTTAACGAGGGAGGGCAAGGGTGTTCCAGGCAGAGGGAACCCTGTGCAGAGGTGTGGCGGAGAGAGACAGGGACACGCACAGAGACGCGAGAGCGAGATCAGGAGAGACAGGCGCTCCTCGGGGGCTCGTGGCGTGACGGGCAAAGGAGCCGGGGCTGAGATGCGCAGGGGCACAGCGAGGCCCTGGGACAGCAGGAAGACAGCGCAGGGGCAGGGACAGAAGGCAGCATTGCCCAGGGTTGTCCCAGTGGGCGCTGGCGACCCTAAACATGGTGGGTCCCTCTGAGTGGCGCCCTTTGATGTCAGTTTCCCTGCACGGCGGTGGCACTCTTGACACCTCCAGCCCTGAATTTAGGGTCCCACTCATCCCCTCTTCTCCCTCTGTGCCCGCAGGGACCCATGCATCACCCGCCTTTCCCCGTAAGTACCTGCCGGTGGGCAGCAGATGTCCCCTGAGCTGCGGTCCCTGGGCCCCCCTCACCCTTCCTGCCTCTGTCCCTCGTGCAGGGGCCCGGACACGGCCATCATTACCCCCATCAGCAGCTGAACAGCCTGCCTGTGAGTGGGACGCCTGGGGCCACCTGGGGGTGGGGATGGCAAGAACTGGGGGGGAAGGGGAGGCGGGATCGGAGCCCCAGCTGGACTGACCCGGCACCCGTCAACTACGGTAGAATAATGTCGCTTTCTCCTCACTTCACAGTCCATGGAGGGACCCCCCACCTTCAACCCGGTACGGTGTCATGTGGGGATCGGGCCGTGGCGGGCAACTCGAGGGGTGGCAGGGCCCCGTGGGGAGGCGGCCTGAGCCCGGGGCATCTGGGAGTGTTGGAACGGAGCGGGCTGAGGGCGTCTGGGGTGGGGGTGGGGAGAGGGTGGCGTGGGTGGCCAGGGCTGGGGAGGGGGCCGGGTTGGGGACATTTCCCAGGAGGATGGGGGGGGGCTTCTTTGAACATCTGTTCCTGCCATCTGGCTTCTGCCAACCCGAGAGGCAGTGCGACCTGTCGCTGTCTCCCCACAGCCCGTGCCGTTCCGGGGCAGGCTGCAGGGGGGGCTGACCGCCCGGAGGACCGTCATCATCAAGGGCTACGTGCCCCCCACAGGCAAGAGGTGCAGACGCCGGGCTGAGGGGCCGATCCCCTGCCCCCGCCCGGGACGCCCCCCTGACTCCCACCCCCTCTGTCCCCAGCTTCTCCATCAACTTCAGGGCGGGACCCTCTGGGGACATAGCGCTGCACGTCAATCCCCGTGTGGCCGAGGGCAACGTGGTTCGCAACAGCTTTCTGAAGGGCTCGTGGGGCTCCGAGGAGAGGAACATCTCCTACAACCCATTTAGCCCCGGACAGTTCTTCGACGTGAGTACGGGCTCTTTCCCCGCCCCCCTGCGCAGCCCGGCCTGGCGCGGCCTGATGCCCGCCCTCCCCCCCTCCCCTCTCCCCTCTCCCCGCAGCTGTCCATCCGCTGCGGCCAGGACCGCTTCAAGGTCTACGCCAACGGCCAGCACCTCTTTGACTTCTCCCATCGACTCTCGGCCTTCCAGAACGTGGACACGGTGGAAATCGAGGGTGATGTCACTTTGTCCTATGTCCAGATCTGATCTGCGCCCAGGGCCTTAACTCTTGGGAAACAGAAGGATTCCCTAGGAGTCCCGTCTAAGCCCCTAATAAAATGCCAAAGTTGGTCTCACGAGTGTGCGTGTCTCCACTCTCCTCTCCCTGCTTCTTCCCTGGTTCAGTCACCTGCTGTCCCTTCATCCCTCCAGTCGTCTGTCCTTCCACCTGCTCATAAGCACGAATCTAGTTATACCCCACGCACGGACTGAGGGCTCATCCACTCCTCACCACGGCCCCCACGAGGTGGGAACTATTGTGATCGCCCTTCTGTGACAGATAGGAATAGGCAAAGAAAAATAAAGCAAACTGCCCGAGGTCACACAGCTTGTAAATGTCAGAACCAGGACTGAAATTCAGTTGGTCTAGCTCCCAAGGAGGCACACACAACTGATATATGGCCGGGCTTCCCATCCATTCGTGCCTCCCTCTTTCCACTCACCATGTCAACATCCATCAACCCTCCATACATCTAGCAACCAAGTCCAGCCAGCCAGCCATCAGTCAAACAAACATCGAGACGCCCGTCTACTGATCTGTTCAGCCATCCCTTCATCCAACCCTGTATCTATCTACCCATCCACTCATCTCTCTACCCATCCACCTCATCATCAATCCCTCCAAACGTCTATTCACCAGATGTTTATCCATCCATCGAAACAGCCAACAATTCATCCACTCACCAGTGCATCTTGCTCCATCCAGCTATTTGTCTGTCCCTTCATTCATTCAACCCTTATCGTCCACCTGTCCATCCAACTACCCATCATTCTCTCCATCCATCGAAACATCTAACCACTTGACTAGCCAGTGCATCCGTCCATTCGTTCAGCCATCCTTACACACAACTTTCAGCCATCCATTCATTTCTTGTTTTTTTTTTGTTTTGTTTTTTTTTTTTTGAGACAGAGTCTCACTCTGTTGTCCAGGCTAGAGTGAGTGCCGTGGCGTCAGCCTAGCTCACAGCAACCTCAAAGTCCTGGGCTCAAGCAATCCTTCTGCCTCAGCCTCCGAGTAGCTGGGACTACAGGCATGCGCCACCATGCCCGGCTAACTTTTTCTATATATATTAGTTGGCCAATTAATTTCTTTCTATTTATAGTAGAGACGGGGTCTCGCTCAGGCTGGTTTCGAACTCCTGACCTCGAGCAATCCACCCACCTTGGCCTCCCAGAGTGCTAGGATTACAGGCGTGAGCCACCGCGCCCGGCCCCAGGACTTCCTGATGTCCCCCTTACGGTCACCCCATCCTCTGCCTCTGGCTGCCCCTACGTAACACCGCAGTGACTGTCCTCGCACACGTTCCCGCGTGACCCCCAGGCGGGTCTCCTGGCGGGAAACTGCATGGCTGCTGGACCTGCCTGGACTGCACTTGACCTTGTACCGGCACCAGATTTCTGGCCTCATCACCGGAGAGTAACATCGTGGTTTGGGGTCGAACAGACTCAGCTTCGAGTCTGGGCTTGGCCACTCCCTCAATGTATGACTTGAGCTGGTCACTCTACCTCCTGCAGCCTCAACTTTCTTTCTTTTTGATTTTTATTTTTTGAGACAGAGTCTCACTCTCTTGCCCGAGCTAGAGTGCCGTGGCGTCAGCCTAGCTCACAGCAACCTCAGACTCCAGGGCTCAAGCGATCCTCCTGCCTCAGCCTCCCGAGTAGCTGGGACTACAGGCATGTGCCACTGTGCCCGGCTAATTTTTTCTATTTTTAGTTGTTTTTTTGCAATTTCTTTCTATTTATAGTAGAGACGGGGTCTCACTCTTGCTCAGGCTGGTCTCAAACTCCTGAGCTCAAACGATCCTCCCGCCTCGGCCTCCCAGAGTGAGCCTCCATTTTCCTGAACACTGGGGACCCTCCTTTGTTCTGCCTGACGGATTGCTGTGCTAACGTCACCACGCACAGTGCTCAGTGGGGAGCTCCCAGCGAGATAACTCCCAGGACAATGGCATGTGATAACAAGCAAAGCTCTAGACCTTCGTGTGCTTTTGATCTTCCCAGCATCCTGCACATGAGTGAGTCCCCGTTTTACAGATGAGGAAACAAAATCTCAGAGAGATAAAGTGACTTACTGGAGGTCACACAGTGGGGACATTTCAGAGCTAGACCTCAAACCCAACCCATTTGGTGCAACCCCAGACTAAAGTTTCTATTCTCTCCCATGCCCCAATCTGTGAGCGGACTTTTGGCCCTGGTTTGACGTCTAAGCTGTGGACGCCAAGGATCCTGACTCTGGGGCTGTCCCGGCTGACTCGCAGGACTTTTGACCCCAAGTCAAAGAGATCCCTGTTCCCCGCTTCCTGCGTCTACCTTCCCAGGGTCACAGGTGCCGAGTCCTGACCTCGTCCCTGTCCTCCAGGTGGTGGTGAATGGAAATCCCTTCTATGAGTTCGGGCACCGGATCCCCCTGCAGATGGTCACCCACCTGCAAGTGGATGGGGACCTGCAGCTTCAGTCAATCAACTTCATCGGGGGCCCGGCCCCCCCACACCAGGTGTGTGCTGTCCCCTCCCTCATTTCTTCCTTCGTTCTTAATTCAGTCCCACGTTTCTTTTGTTTTTTTTTTTTTCGAAACAGAGTCTCGCTTTGTTGCCCAGGCTAGAGTGAGTGCTGTGGCGTCAGCCTAGCTCACAGGAACCTCACACTCCTGGGCTCAAGCGATCCTCCTGCCTCAGCCTCCCCAGTAGCTGGGACTACAGGCATGCGCCACCATGCCCGGCTAATTTTTTCTATATATATTAGTTGGCCAATTAATTTCTTTCTATTTTTAGTAAGACAGGCGTTCTCGCCTCTTGCTCAGATTTGGTTGCTCAACTTCCTGACCTCGGAGCACTCTACCTGCCTTGCCTCCCAGAGAGCTAGGGGTTACAGCCGTGAGCCACGCGCCCGGGCCGAGTCCCAAGTCTCTTTAGTTGCTGAAGTACAATCTCTGCTGCAGTCGCCTCTGCCCTAAGGGACACAGCGGGCTAGGGGTGACCAAGACAGCCGCCTGGGAGACGAGCCCGGGGGTCGACCAGCAGCGATGCTGCGGAGGTGTCAGGGGGGGGCACATGTTAGAGACGGTCGAGGCGGGATCGCGGCAGACACAGCATTGTTCATGGAGGGGACGTCTAAAGAAAGGGCCGGGAACCCGTATTGGTCAGGACGGCGCCGAGGATGAACATCGCGGTGTGTAAGCTGCAGTCAGCAAGTGGAAGACAAAGGAGGAGCTAAGCAGTACTCGAAACATGGAAACAAATGCCGGAAGAACATAGCTGTAACGCATCGCTAGGCGCCCAGGAAGGGTCAAGGGTCAACGGCTCCAAGCAGCCGCGCCAGCAGGATGCGTACGAGACGGTACACCGCCACCGTCAGATCGCTGCGTGAGCACAGGGGATCGCCGCCCACGCCTCCCGCACGGCGCTTTTTGAAATTCGGGGTACATCCCGTTGGAAGTGGCTGCTGAGCAAGCGCATGTTGAGCTCAGTGCCCTGAAAACCCACGTCCCAGGGGTACACCGTGGAGAAACGGCCACCCCCCACCCCCCCACCAGGGATGTGGCACGTACGCGGTATGTTAAAAGCCCCCAAACGAACTCCAGAGCACCAACGTAGTCGTGGGCTGTTTCAACAAGGACAGGGAGAAATACACGCCGTTCTTCACCCCAGCGGTCGAGAAAGGGACAAGGTTAGCAGTGAACACACGAGCGCGACCGCCGGGGTCTCAGGAATTCCAAGAGCATGAGTGAGAAAGAGCAAGTTGCAGCGCATAAAAGAAGAAGGAGAAGCACAATCCCAAAGCCGCGCTTCTGGGACATGGCGCGCCGCAGCGGGACGGACGGGAACGCACTTCGCTCTGATTGAGAGAGCGAGTCACAGATTGGAACTGAGGGGGCATTAGAGAGAGCTTAATAATTGCCCCAACTCCACGGAGCTGGTGGGCAGGGTGGGAAGTTCAGGTTTTACCGTGCCGTGCTCGGATCGACGTACAGTTGGAAAGGGAAACCGCAACAATAAAGCTATTTTAACAG